GAAGAAACATGCTTACTGACTTGCTTCCATGGCTTGCTCAACCTGCTTTCTTATGCCATGCACGACTACGACTACCCACCCTGGGGTGGCACCACCCGCCCATCCACATCAATCATCCATTAAGAAAATGCACCACTGGCTTGCCTACAGGCCAATCTAGAGGGGGCATTTTCTCCATTGATGTTCCCTCTAACAAAATGATGCTAGCCTGTGCCACATTGTCATAAAACTAGCCAACACAGGTCTCCTTCCTCTCCCTCTCATTTTCTGAGAAACCCGCAAGCAGCACTGTTGCCTATTGACAGTAAAGCCATCCAACTTCCCTGCTTCCCTCTGATCTAGTTTTACTTTACTGATCATATTCATCTCCAGTGGCCTTTGGGGCACAACATGTGACCTCATATAGTTTCCTTAGCAATCCATTGAAGATAACCTCAAGATCTCCAAAATGGTCTCTATGACTAAAGATAGTGAGGTGCCACTGAGAAGCCCATAGCATGCTCTCAGTGTGTCTTATTCTCTCCCCAAGTGGCTTCATTCCCTTAAGCCTTGTATTTCCAAGCTTTTTCAGAATATCTTCTAATGATATCTTCATACTGGCTTGTCCTGAAGTTCTCTTCTACATGGAAGCTAAGGCTCTGGTTTTAGCTGAGCCAAGGGGCCTGATTCAGAGAACTCCTCAGGCTTATGGGGAAACTGGGTCTCTATCCCTCCTCCTGCTGCTGCTGACAGTACATACTGGAATCCCTTCAAAACCGTGTACAGGGGTGGAATGAATTTGGAAATACGCAGATGGAGAGATTTGGGAGGTATCACATCTCACCTTTGCCACAGAGCCTCCCCTGACAAACCCAGGTACTCTCTTGCCTCTAGGCACTTAAAACTGGCTTTCCTTTGTATTTTACTTTTAAAAAAAACAATTTTTTGAGACAGGTCTCATCTAACTCAGGCTAGCCTTGAACTTCTCTGTCTTGGCCTCCTACGTGCTGGGATTCTAGGCTTGTGCCACCAGCCCCAGCTGCTTTCAAGATTCTAGGGACTCATACAGCCCATTTGAGTTTCAGAGAGGGACCTCAGGGCCACAACAGTAGATGAGAGGGACTTCAAAAACAAGGGTTATGACTCCGCCTCAACACCTCTTTCACCTGGTCTAGACCCTGACCCCTACCCCCTTATCTGTAAATTTCATCTAGGGAAGAAAGAATTGTCTCAGTTCAGCAAATAATCAGTTTTGTAACTATAAGCAGGTCACCAGCTCCGAGGCACCTGTAAAATGTTTATTACCACCTCCTCTATCGAACTAAAAAGTTAGGAGCCTGGCATGGTGGTGCATGCCTTTAATCCCAGCTCTTGGGAGGCAGAGGCAGGTGAGTTCCAGGCCAGCCTGGTCTACAGAGCAAGTTCCAGGACAGCTGGGGCCATTACACAGAGAAACCCTGACTCAAAAAAAAAAATTACGAAGATAAAAATTAGAGATATTTCCATTTCTTAATTACAAGGGGATAAGATAATGCACACAGTAGAAGAATATTGGTTTGAACTGTTACTTTCCTGCCTGCTTCCACACATACCTGTACTGAAAAGGAGTGGTATGTCAAAACTTGCTTTGTTTCAATGTACTCAGCAGAAAGGGTGATTAACAAACATTTTGTACCCAGGTGGAAACATTTAACAGGAATTTCTACACCTTTCCTTCTGAAAGGTTCAGGCATTATGCTGTTACCTGTTACCTGTTACCTGGTGGAACAGGCAGTACCCTGGTCAGCCCAGGGTTCCATGGGAACTAAATCTGCACGCAGGTGCAGAGGACCCCTTTTAATCCCTGCTCATTTACGCTCTCTACACTTCACTCCTTTCTCTCTCTATTCTTCTCTTTGCTTCTGCTCTGCTCTTCTCTCTGTGTCTGTCTCTCCCCCCCTCTCTCTGTCTCCCCCCCCCCCCCCCCCGGCGACCGGCCATGGAGGTCAGCCATTTACCCTGTTTCTCTTCTCTCTTAGTCTCCCTACAATGCTGGCCTAATAATAAACTGGTTAACATGTCTCATCCACCTCTTTTCTTCTTTATCTTTAAGCAGACATTTTAACACCTCCATCAGAATAGCTATTCTTTGATTTTTTTTCTGATATATTTCATTATTGGCAATGTTGAAAAATATTGTTACTTATGCAAATGAATGCCAATCAGTCAAAATGGTTCTGAAAAAAATTTTTATTCATGAGGTGGCCCCAGGTAGAGATGGGAGAAATGTCACATCTTCCTCCTTAAGGGTAGGAATTAGGGCTATTTTGAGGCATGGAGAAACTTCAATTAATAAGCATGGCTGGCACAGTAGATAGTATGTATAGGTCACAAATGGGACACACAGTCATCTCAAAGAGGATAGTGTAGCTTCCCTTCTCCTACCACCAAGAAATTAAGGTAGTGACACTCAACACTTGAAGCTAGTTATGTCTAGGGATGCTGCAAATGTGTGTCAAGATGCCAGAGACCCCACTGGGTTTAGTAACCATGGAAACAGCTCCAGTTTGCTGTTTCCACAGAGGCTGGTCACACTGGCTGGGAATGATAGGAAAATGTAACATTATCAAACCTGGAATTATGCAATTTGATAACTGAATTCTGTAATATACAAACTGCAACTAACCAAGACTATTTGGGAAATGTGGCAACAATTATTAGCAATGGGCTTTTGTCATTTTTTTCTTCATTTTTTTGTTTGTTTTTGAGACAAGATCTGTGACCAGGAGGTGGCTCAGTGCCTAAAAACCTGCAGCCCCAGCCTCTGCAACCTCAATCTGATCCCCAGAAGATGGACGTGAAGAAACAACTCCAGAAAGTTGTCCTGACCTCCACACATGCTCCACCGAACACTCACCACCATGTCAAGAGAAAGAAAGAAAATAAATTTTGAAATTTAACTTAAAATACAAATAAAGAGATTTTTAAAGGGGTGGTGAGTTGTCTCAATGAGTAAAGAGTTCACTTTATAAGCCTAGCAACCTGAGTTCAATCAGTAGAACCCACATCAATGTGAAAGGAGAGAAAAACAAAAACCAAGGCGTCATTCGCATTAATTAAATTAGCACATTCCGAATATACCATTGGAGGTAAATTGGTATTTAATGCTCAGAAAAATGCCACAATACAGGGGCTGGAGAGATGGCTTAGAGGTTAAGAGCACTGGCTGCTCTTTCAGAGATCCTGAGTTCAATTCCCAGCAACCACATGGTGGCTTACAACCATCCATAATAAGATCTGGTGCCCTTTTCAGGCCTGCAGACATACATGGAGGCAGAATGTTGTATACATAAATAAATAAGTAAATCTTTTTTTTAAAAAAAGCCACAATACAATTTTGGAGTATTGTCATTACCAAAAGAAGGCCCTTTGTGTGTATTTATAGCTCACAGGATCTTTTCCATCATTGGTCCTTTCTTTCCATCAGTTCTACCTCTCAATATGCAGGAAAGGAAGCAGACACCGAAGCCTAACACCATGGCCAGCTTTCTCAGCTGATGTACTGTTGAGCACCAAGCTGGTTTGGTTTTGGTTTTTCAGAGCTTTATTGTTTTGTTTTGTTTTTTTATTTTACATGTGTGTTTGCCTGCATGTATGTCTGTGGCTTCCAGGGTTTTTGATGTGCTCTCCTTTTCCTCCTCTAGTTTGTTCTAGGACCCAGAGGCCATTCAGAGCCATTCTGGCAGCTACTAGTATTAGAAGCAGTCACACTCAAGTGGGACAGGTCTCCCTATTCCCACCTTTAGGTTTTGGGCTTTCTAGGCCACACTTTCTCCATAAGCTTCCCAGGTAAACCAGACTGAGGATAAATTGTACTGTCTGCTGGTTGTCCCTGTCTGAATGATGCCAGCTCTTCTATTCCCCTCCAGGGTCCACTGCCTGGGAAATTCCAGTTCATTTGAGCTTGTACTTCCCCCAACCTTCTTGTTACTGTGTATTTTGTGCAAGATATGTATGTACAGGCATGTATGTGGCAGTGCCTATGGAGGACAGAGGGCAACTCTAAGGGGTCCATCTCAAGTCACTAGAGTTTGCAAAGCAACTGCTTTTTGCCAGCTGCAGCACCTTGCTGGCTCTTCAACTTTAAAATGATACTTTCTTTCAAATCTCTTAAATGTCTTCAACATAAAAATTCTGAAAAGCTTAATTTATCATGTGGCTTCATTCATCACCATCACCTGTTGAAGTCTTATGAATATGAAAACTAGTTCAGAGTTCCAAATGCACCTCTAGACAATTCACAATAAACCTGCGTCATTCATAATTGGATTTGAAAATACTTCGACTTTTTCACTGTCCAGCTGTGCTTGCCATCAGCCAGTTGCTCATGGAGCTTCTATGGTAGTGAGCGTTGGGGAGAGGAATGCTCCTGTCTGCAAAGCAAAAGGAAGAGGGAGAGATCACTGCTTACAGTGTGGTCTCCCAGCAGCAGCAGCAGCAACACCCCATGGGAACTTGGTAGAAGACTCATGGGCCTGTCTAGACCAACATCATGCTATCAGATCCTGATGCATGTGAAAATTCAAAGGACTTGGATTAGCTATAGTATCTATTGAGTTACAGACCACAGTCTGTACTTAGAAATCCAGTCAAGATTTTAGAAATAATTGAGTGAAAACACCTTCTCTAATGTTCCTCCCCTCACCTCGGGGGATGAGGGGAGGAACATCCCTACTTACTTGTATGTCCCTCTTCATTTATTATTTATGGGAATGTGTTATCACTTTATGAAGCTGGTATTTAGTATTAGACTTGCTAATTAGTTGTATCATCAGCACACTCCTGCTGCCTGTTATTCCATGCAGTTACAGGTATACTGTGTGCAGTACAAAACCTCAGTAGTCAACTTTCCATTGTCAGCAAACAAGCAAGGGGAGGGTCCAGAGGTGTGGTCAGTGTGGACTACAGACTCTTTCTTATGCAAAAGAGCTAAGAGAAAGACCAACCTAAACCAGAAGCTAACATCTGCAGGGAGGAGCTACATGGGAAAGGCAATGCTGGCAGCTGTCTTTGCTGACTCCGATCCCAGCATCATGAATGTGTCCTTTGCTCACCTCCACTTTGCAGGAGGGTACCTGCCATCTGACTCCAAGTCCTGGAGGACCATCATTCCAGCTCTCTTGGTGGCTGTGTGCCTGGTGGGCTTCCTGGGGAACCTATGTGTGATCAGCATCCTCCTTCATGGTGTTCGTCAAAGAAAGCCATCCATGATCCACTCCCTGATTCTGAACCTCAGCCTGGCTGACATCTCTCTCCTGGGCCTTTCTGCACCTGTCCGAGCTACAGCATACTCCAAAGATGTTTGGGATCTAGGCTGGTTTATCTGCAAGTCCTCTGACTGGTTCATCCACACATGCATGGCAGCCAAGAGTTTGACAATTGTTGTAGTTGCCAAAGTGTGCTTCATGTATGCAAGTGACCCAGCCAAGCAAGTGAGTATCCACAACTGCACCATCTGGTCAGTGCTGGTGGCCATCTGGCTTGTAGCCAGCCTGCTTCCCCTGCCAGAATGGTTCTTTAGCACCACCAGACATCACGGAGGTGTGGAAATGTGCCTGTTGGATGTGCCAGCTGTGGCTGAAGAATTCATGTCAATGTTCGGTAAGCTCTACCCTCTTCTGGTGTTTTGCCTTCCTTTACTGCTAGCCAGCTTTTATTTCCAGCGAGCTTATGGCCAATGTAAAAAACGAGGTACGAAAACACAAAACCTGAGAAACCAGATGCGTTCTAAGCAACTCACAGTGATGCTGCTAAGTAGTGCAGTCACCTCTGCTCTTCTGTGGCTCCCTGAGTGGGTAGCCTGGCTGTGGGTATGGCATCTGAAGGCTGGAGGTCCACTGCCACCACAGGGGTTTATAGCCCTGTCTCAAGTTCTGATGTTCTCCATCTCTACAGCAAACCCTCTCATTTTTCTAGTGATGTCTGAAGAGTTCAAGGCAGGCTTGAAAGGTGTATGGAAATGGATAACCAGAAAGCCCGCAGCTGCCTCAGAGGTTCAGGGGGTACCAGATGGAAACACAGAGGTCCTTCCTGACAAGGTTCCCTCTCCAGAGTCCCAAACATCCATTCAAGAGACAGACAGACCTGACTTTCCCAACTCCAGCAAAGAGAAAACTGACAAGACAGTGATTCCCATCCTCCCTGATGTTGAGCAGTTTTGGCATGAGAGGGATGCTGTCCCTTCAGCACAAGACAATGACCCTATTCCCTGGGAACATGAAGACCAAGAGACAAAGGGCTGCAATTAATGGACTTAAGTTTCAAATAAAAACAAACTGTGATTATTGTATTTACTTGTAATGTTGTTTAGCCATATTGCTGACTTAAAATTATCATTAGAAATTACAAAGATTTCTTTCTGCATTTCCAAACTATACTTAACAATCTGGTAAGTAGATTGGCATGAAGTGTGGTGATTATGCTTCAGAATCCTGTTTAAAGAACTCAGTAGAAGTGTTATGTAACTAAAACAATGTCAAAGTGATTATTGGGCTCACAGTAACATTTCCCCAAGGTATCCCCTAAACATAAGCCTATATTGCACTGACTGGAGTAGTTTATCAGACTGAGCCCACATAACTCTTTTTTCTTCCTGAAACTGCTAGCCCCAAGCCAGCAAATTATATTTCACCTAAGTATAGCTCAAAATCTACATCTACTTTGGGTTTCAAAAATTGTAAACTTTATTTGTTAAGTTCTCATTTGCTTGTATATGTTAATATACTTAATGAAAAGTCCATATAATTTTCCTGAGCAAAATTTACAAAATAAGGAATGCCTCTTCTATTTGGGCTAATTTCAAACCACGGCTATTTGGGGCCCAAGTTTAAGTAAATTTAAGTCTTGCTTTATAGTATAAAAGCTGTTTCAATCTTTAAAAATCTACCTTTGGATTCTAAGAATATCAGTAGCCTAATACGACATTCTATATCATAATGCAGAGAATTTTCAAACTAATGTCCCTTCTATTCCAAAACAGTATTATTCTACAAGCTGAAATTTATTCTCCTTGATTCTCTGTTCTTTAAGGTAGACTGTAAGTGAAGCTAATGATACAGGTTTTAACTATTGACTAAGGCAAGCACAAAGGAGAATGTCAGCTTTTCTTGTGTCAAATGTGAACACACTCAACTTTAAAAATATTGCAGGGCTTCTAAGATATAAAAATAATCAAATGTAACAAAGTGTGGACTAGCACACATGAGAAAAAGAAAGCCTGGCAAATAGTTAACACAAAATTTAGGAAAGAATAGAATGGTCACAAGGACAATGCAAAGCAAAGGGCAAAATAAAAAGCATTCTGAGTCCCTAGTCTCAGAATGAGTATAGCAGAATGAAGCACAGCCAATCAAACATGATCATGCACTTCCCCCTTTGAAATACAAATAGCTGTATATATTTAACTGTTTTGTTAATGGAACTTTGGGATTTCTCACTGTTGGGTACCTCTGAAAGAAAAATGCCTCTAAAATAGGCACAGAGGAGTTTGGAGAATATTCTGCACATACAAGAACTGTTATAGAAGGTTGTGGTTTTCAACACAAGACAAAGCTGCCTTCTTTTTCCCTTGTTTCATTGTAAATTGTATTTGAAGCTCCCATATTCAAATAAATACTAGTTTACCCAAGAATCTAGAATAAATGCTTTGTAAATCCCTTACATGAGGGGTTGCCACTGAATCTGAGAAACAGGAAATAAGCTTTTGTTTTATAAACACAATATGTAGAGTGTAAGCTCCAAGTGTATGAAATCTTGTAAAGAAATAAAAGCAATGTTTTACTTCTGCCAGGTGTTAAGAGACTTAATGCTGTGTCTTGAATTTGTATTTCAAACCATCACTCAGAAAAAGAGAGCTTTATGAGGTGGCCTGAGGATGACAATGTGCCCGGTGTCTGGGTAAATGCAGACAAGTAACACCTTACGCTGCAGATATGGAATAAAATATAATTATGAATCACTCATTAAGAACATGAGAGTTGGGGGCTAGGGAGGTAGCTCAGAGGTTAAGATCACTGACTGCTCTTCCAGAGGACCAGAGTTCAATTCCCAGCAACCACATGGTGGCTCACAACCATCTATAATGGGATCTGATGCCCTCTTCCTGCGTGTAGTCTCTATATGTAGATAGAGCACCATATATGTAAAATAAATAAACCTAAAGACCATGACAGTCCTGATCTGATCTCTTAAAAATAAAAAAATTCTGCAAGGAAAAACTGACTCGCTCCTTCTAAGAACAGTCCACAAAAGAATTTATGCCCAAAGTAGGAAACAGGAGATCTCATCAAGCTGTTTCTTTACTCTTTTCTACTGTGACAAGATGCAGACACTAACACATGGAACTCAGAATGAAGGCCTCAGGGAAGGCAGACTTCTGTAATAGTTTTCCTTTTAGCAAACATTTCAATTTCATTCCTTACAAAACTTACAAACACTTAATAAATTTCAAAAGGGGGGATACAAATTCTATTTATCTTTTTATCATTTTCACAGTTTTAGACCTTAGCCTGCTCATCAGTCTTCAACCAGTCACATAATTTCTATGACACTTGGATAGAGTTAAGCCAAATACTAAAAGTATGGATACGAATGCTATATATAACACAAACCCAGGTCAGCCGGTATTCCTTTCTAGGTTTTGTTGCCATCATGGCAGGTAGGAGAGAAAAGGAAGATAATTAACATATCTTCTCACACATCTTATTTATGTGGCACTCTGGTACTGGCAACCTATGTGGAACAATATAGGATTTACAGAGAGAGCAAGAGAGAGAAAGACAGGGAAACTTAACTGAACATCAAAGGTAAATTCATGATACATACATGACAGTTTGAAAGGAAGCCCCAAAGGCACAAATCTTTGATATGTTAATTAGACAGAAATAAGAAAACAAAAATTACAATATTCTTGCTGTTAAGTAACAGGTAGTATTAAAAGACTGAACACACAGGCACACAAAGGAAAAAGGAAGAATAGGCTTTCTACAAAATTTCTTGTCTTTTATATTGGAAATACAATAGTATAGTCCAGCCTTTAAAAACTATATACTATCCAAGATTCAGTTGTCTCAAATATCACATGCTGCTTTCTTTAAAAAAAAAAAAAAAAAAAAGGTTTAAGAGTTTGTATAAAATATATTGTGTAACAATAATCATTTACAATCCACATATATAAAAGGGTTGGTTTATTGTAGTTCAAATACATAAACTGAACATTCAAACATCTTAAAATTAAACTTTAGAAACAAAAGTTCAACATTCAAACAGGAGTAGTTTACAGGGAACATCCAGAAAGGTAATTTTGTTGTCTAATTCAGAATTTCGGTAAAGATCATTCAGTGGATAATAAAGTATGTTTAACCAGGATTCTATTCTGGCCAACATGTTAGTTATGAATGTGTTCATAACCTGAGAAGAAATTACTAAATAAATCTTCTCCTGGGCTAAACAAGACTTGGCCTCTAACTCAGAGGGGAGAATCAAAGCACGGAAGTAAACAAATACAACTAAACTGTTCTTTAGAGACAAAGGTCAAAGTGTGTCCATCATAATAGTCATAGTCTCTGGAAGAATTCAATTCAGTGTTTTCTCTTTTACCCGCTTAAAAAAAAAAAAATTAAAACAAACCCCAACTTCAGTTTTCTTGGAGTCTGTGGTATTTGCAAGCTCCAACCACACACGCTCCTGTCTTGCTGAGTAACACTGCTAGTAAGAAGACCACCAAGTCACTGACTTCAGAACAGGATGATTTTTAGCTTCGAGATTTTAAATTTACTAGACAGCCTATAATTGAGTATGTATGTCAGTCATGCCACACAAAGAAAAGCATTAAATATTTCAAAGTGTTCTGTTCAGAGACTGCTCACAATTGCTTCTCCTTCTCTTCATCAGGTGGTTCTGCAATAGGTTGACTAATGCACATATATGTAAAAACCTGAAAATTTGGCTCATGCAAGCGTTTTTTCCATTAGAGAGCCCGTGGACGGGTATTTAGAATTATTTTGTGGATCGTCTAGTGGGCTCTGATGCTGTGGGAGGTGGAGGTGGACCCCGGCGATCCAGGTCATCAACATAGGCCACAATCAGTTTCCTCCTCTCCTCTGGTACACAGTCCAGTACTAGATACCGTTTGTCATTCTGCAAAATCTTTTCTACATCTTTCAGGTGTTGATCAGATTCTTGGATTAGCTTTTTGGATCTGAAATAAGAAAAAAGTTTAAGAATTACTGGCTGCTGTTCACTAGTCTTTCAGAATGAGCTGGAAATGTCCATCTAGTTCCTAATTGTGTTCCACTTTTTTTTTTAAAGAAAAATTCACTGCAGCAGTCACCTTTGGAAATTGCTCAGCAAAGACTCCAAGGAGTGAAAGGGCCTCAGAAGCTGAATTACCCTCCCGCCCCTACTGGTGGTCCCTCCAGATCAGGGCTGAGGGTGGGTAGGTAAATCTTGCCCGTGCTGTACCTGTTCTGTGGATGAACAGAGGACTTCAGTCTGCGGGGCTGCCAATCCCAGCATCTTTCACAAGCTTTCACTTTCACATCTTTCACTAAATTAACTATAAAAATGTAGAAAGAAGTCTTACTTCACATCTAATTTAAAAGCCCAAGCTGATGCAAAACATTAAGGATCCTGACCAAAAAATCCAAATGACAAAACACCTACAAACCACACCCTCAGCGCTATCTATCCTCCCGTGCACACCCTTCATCAAGGTTGTCTTTAAAGGAAGAAATGCTGGAGCATGAAGCATAACTGGTTCCCTGCACACAGACTGTAGGCAATGTCAAACTGCTTTCCTGATGAAAGTTGTTGGTGGTGATGGACTCGTGGGTGTGCTACACCAAAACTTCTTTTGAGGGCTCTGATTTTTAATTTTTTAAAAAATAACTGTATCCAGCAAACTGCTTTCCCAAGGGGGAAAAATGATTTATCTGCCTTAACAAGATGATTTCAGGCGTTGACGGTCTAACCACACTCAACAATCCTCAGAGGAGGCAAAGATAATTCACAGTGAAGGATTCCTTTAAAGTCTCTTCATGA